AATGTGTAATGGCCTGGGAACCAGTACAAAAAGGGTAGGTACCATACTGCTCAGACAGTATACCGGGTAGGTATATATGGGAGGTTAGTTGGAGATTTCAATATGACAGGGTGGATAATCAAAGGATTTAAATGGATAATCTCCTAGTAGGTTATAGGTATAGCATCTAGTATAGAACCTTAGGGCAGACTACTTAAATAGGCAATCAAAAGTTGCACGTGTAATTAGCTGTACTCTCATCTCTGTAAAAAATAGTTGTAATAGCTAACCCAATAAAAAGTCAATAAAGTATCACCACAAGTATGGCCTTAACAAATAATAAAAAAAAAAAAAAAAAACAATTTTATATATAATATATCAAACTAATTTTTTAGTTAAAAAATAATCAAATCAATATTTTTTAAACTAGTTATTAAAAAAATACTGATAATTATTAATTATTTTTAAAATTCTAACTTCTATTATTCAAATTAAGAGAATTAGCTAGTAATGCAATATTAAAACCTCAATATTTATATATTACTCATTAGACAATATTTACAAAATTAACAAAAACTATTAAAACAAATTTAAAAGTATATAAATTTTTTAATATTAAGTAATAAAAAAATTTTATTTTTAACTATATTAAAGTTATTTGTAACTAAGATTAATAGTATTAGATAACCTTAATTTAGATAAAAATAAATTTTTCTTTAAGTAATATGTATTATATATGTATAATATTGTATATCTAATTTATTTTATTTTTAAGTTATTACTTTTATATATACATCTTATTTAATATTATATTTATAAGAAAATGATATTATAATTAATATTATTAATGATAATGAATTATAATCAAAGCTTGAATTAGTTTATAAATTATTAAAACTGTATAATTATGTTATAAAAATTCTTGAAACAGAAAAGATAACATTAGATCAAATGACTGCATCATAGACATGGCTTTGTGAAATTATTAATAATAACTTACTTACTAATAATGATTTTAAAAATTTTTAATAACAGAAATCAATAATTATTAACAAAAAATCTTCAATTCAGTTTCTTTAATTATCTTGTTTCTTCATCTATATCATTATAGTGAAGGATTAAATATGATCTGACTTTTATATAATTAAAAAGCTGCATACAACCTGTTTTGTACTTTTTATTCAAATTATAATCAAGACCAACTGATTGATGAATGGTTAAATTACTTAAATTATAAAGGTTCATTTTCTACATTATTATTAAAAATCCAAGTTTTATAAGATTTTCACTAAGATACTGGTGTATTATGCTAAATGCAACCCTGAATTTAAGTAAATTTGCATGTTATCTTTTATCAATTCCACTAAATTCTACAAATTCTGAATGTGTATAGTCTTTATTAGGCAATATATATACAGAATGTTATAACAAGTTATTACCAATACAGGCTGCAAAAATGATGCAAGTCTCATGGTATATAAATTAAAACTCAAAACAAAATAGAAAAAAATCTCAATCTTTTGAAAAAAATTGAGTAAAATAGAAAGTAATATTTTGAATGATGATTATATTGATAGTAGTGATGATATAGATGATTTTATGATAAATTTAAATGAAATTTCTGAAAAATTAATAGATGACATTCATGTACTTGACGTAAATAGGAAACCATTCCAGCACTTTTAGATATATTTGATTTTAAGCTGTTGAAAAATCATTAAATTTTTATATTAATCAATTGTATGTATAAATTTAGAGTTACTTTAAATGTTATTAATAATGATTATAAATAAAGATCTCTTCGGATTATATTTAGAGTATGTGCTTTATTATAATTATTAAATAATTTCTACAGCTACTCTCACGAATATACATCTTTTTATAGAAGAAATTCACTTCGAACAACACTGTGAATTGGGTCATTAAGTTCTAAAAATTGTTCAAATACCGCGATGATCAATCTTGTTCATTTAATATTTCAATTTTATTGACGGGTTTAACTGTAAGTATAGCAATTATTTTACAATCTTTTTTTTCGTAAAATTAGTTGAATTTAGGTATATTTCATTGCGACTTAAAATTCCTATTAATGAGTATGCCATTATTAACCAGTGATTAAATTCTAATATTTACGCTTAGATACTAAAGTTGAAATATAAATATATCTATATATTTTGCCACTTCGCAAACAAAAAAAAAATTATTCGTCTCCCAAAACTGTAATTTAATATCTTCTCATTTTTAATCAAATGCCATTTAATAAGTATAAGGGCGTATCCAAGCGCTAGTTAAAAAAAAATATTGGTATATTTTTATACGCTTGCGCGATATTAATACTAAATAGCTGCGTCATGCTGCGCCATACATTATTAAGTAGTTTTTAATTAATAATTAGGGCTTTTAGTTAATTATTATTAATTATTAATAATGCGGAAGGTCCCATCACTAATTGTAATAGTTAGCAATATTGATAAAATATTATGTACAGTTTGAATAAATTCTTGAATATATCGTACATTACTTTCAAAGCATTAATCAATCACATTTTATAAAAAAATGCATTTGCACAAACAACAACTATCTATAATAAAAATCAATATAAAAATGAACGAACAGTGACACGCAAATTTCTCGAAGATGGCATGCTGAGTAACCTATGAGAAACGATTCACCGGGAGTTTGCCTTTCGCTGGAGGTTTCGACTTTCACTGTGGGTTTCGCCTTTTACTGGGAGTTTCGTCTTTCGTCAGAGAATAGCCACACGCAAAATATTTTGATTCACCAACATGGTACAGTCTTTCCAAAATCTTAGAGAATTTGATCTTCGCTGTGTTTAACTTTCTCCAATGGTTTTGGCTTTACTGGAGGTTTCGCCAGAGTTTCGACGTTTCGCCGGAGTTTCGCCAGTTTCGACTTTCGTCGGGTTTAGTTTCGACTTTCGCCATTTACTAAAAATAGTTTCTCCTAACAACATTAGGTTCTCCGATTACATTTGGCAAACTACGGCCGTTCACAAAACTTAAAGATCTATCCAGGAGAGTTAAAACGTCATGAATATTGATTTCGGCTGCGGTCCATATGTCCTCACACGTAATCGTGCGTGAGCTAAAAGTTGGTTTTTTATATATATTCGCGGGCTCCGGGTTCCATAAATGTACTTTAGAATTAAAATTATCCCACGATGAATATTGTAAAAAAACTTTTTTTCTACAGAAGTTATACTTGAATTGGATTTTTCCGGTCTTAGTTAAAGGTACTTTAATAGAGATGTTATCGGCTCCGACTCCAGCCGCGGCTTGATACCAGAGCCACTATCTAGCCAAGTCTTTAAAATCATAGCTTGAATCAGAGAAGTATGGCTTTCAGCTATTGCTTTAGTGAGCCAAACCGAGCCATTTCAGCCGATTACATCTCTATACTTTAAGTTTGGCAATGAATTCGTAACAATATTAGACAATGAAGTGCCTGTATATACAGTATATAAAAAAAAAAGCCCAAAGATGAGTAAAACATTATTAGGAAATATAAAAATGTAGCTAAAAACTACCTGTAGAAATTTCACGTTTAGTTTTTTTTGAACTTTTAATTCTGTCATTTTCATTAATGGAATTTTCTTTTTCGTTGAACCTTTTTCGTTTCTGTAATGCAAAAAAAAAGAATGTGAGATATCCAATTCCTTATACAAAATCGGAAGGCCTTCATCAAGAAACTTAATCAAGGAACTCATAGCAAAAATGTGTGCACGTCGCAGAAGCTCGATGCCTGGACGCTCTTCTTCCCTCGACCCAGCAGGTACACGGGGCGTAGCACACTACTATGCTCACATTCAAATACTAACCTTTAGGTTTAAAAAATCCCTTTTTAAAGCTAAGGCTTTATCATGTATAGAAGTCTTCGGTTCAAGCTTACTTATTAAACCATCTAAATCGCACTGGAAAGTGTTGTGCGATTCTTTTTTTGTCTTATTTGGATATTTGTCAACATAAAACTTCTTCCACGTAATTAATCCCCATTTTTGCGTATGGTATTTCCCAATAAGAATGAACATGTTTAACAACTTCTGGTAACATTGTATTAACGAACGCGTCTGAATAAGAAGGTAAAGTTTTAAAAATATTTTATCAAAAAAAACGTACTTGAAACATTTCATAATCATGAAACGCGGAAAGTTCAATATGATGAGATAAAAACGCGTGAGAAAAATTTACTGTTTCTTGTAATGGTTGTATAGATTTTATATTAAATCTGTGACCCAGGTCATAGTATCACGTGATATATGAGACAATATGTGCGTAATTATGACATTTGAGTAGAACCACCGATTTTCTGCTGCGACAGACCCCAAATTCTGCCTGCTTCACAAGCCTGTTTATACGAATATTTTTCTTATTTATGCTGCAAATTCTGCGACTTTTTGCGATTTTTTAAAACTGCCATAAAATTCTGCGAATTTATACAATCGAGCTTTTTTTTTAAAAAAAACCGACTGTAAGTCTCCGAGGAACACACGTGAGTTAGGTTCACTGATTTATAATTTTGCCTAAATTCGCTAAAAATTTTACGAATTATGCGAAATCTACTGATATGCCAAATATGCTATCGCATATGCTATGCGATAAAATCCATGTTTATGCGCATATTATGCTGTCGCAGATTTTCGGTGGCCCTACTTTTGAGTATCGATATTGTTGAAACTCCGTTTATTGGAGAGAACTTTTATTATAATAATAATTATTCAATGCTTTACTATGATCAGTCTATTATTTTATGGTATTTTTACGTGATAAAATTATTGATCGTATTTCATAAACTTAGTAAATCATTGAATAAAACCGTTATTGCATACTTTGCATGCATATTATTGATCTGGGTATGAGCATTTATGCGAATGGCAAGGTGGAGTGAATTGGCGGGGAGGTAAAGTCGGATAGATAGAAGCATGACGTGCCATGAATGGTCTTTACTTCATAAAAATCGCATAAAAATAAAAAATGGCGAGGTCACCAACCCCCTTCTTTATTTAATAATGAATTGTTGCCGGAAGGACAACATACAAGTAAAAAAATATCGCTTTACATAGTGCGAATACAAATAATAAAAATATTATACATCATCATCTTATAATAATGTGAATTCTATTTGAATCAGGAATCCCGTTGAAATATGCACCAACAGTAGCTTGATCTTTCATATTTTCTTCCATCACTCTTGCAAAATCATTTTTATAAAGTTCGAAAATAGTGGAAGTGACATAGTTCCCATTTCTAATCATAGTTTTGAGTGCTCCGACAGTTATTGTTGGATTAACATTATCAAGTTCAAAAGTTTCACCACTGTTGATTAGAAAATTAGAGCAGTATTATTAGCCATTTCTGTGTTTCCTATTATGAAAAAACCATAGTTAGTGAAACGTCATTCTCATAAAAGAAAAAACAAAAAGTGAGTCTTTGTATAGCATATCAATAAAGAATACATTACTTGAGAATAAACTGCGTGTATGTTAAACGAAAAAAACATGGGCAACTTATTACTAGCCCACTAGCCAAACCCATTTATTTTTATATATTGCTTAATTCGCTAATCCTGGGAAACCTGCTAAAAGAGAAATTATACGATTAGTAATTACGTTACCCTAACACAATGCCAGATCCCACTTAGCAAAGCAAGTCCGATCGGTCATAAGCTCCAAATACTGAATCCGTAATGCCATTTTGGAGGGAAATAGAACCCCACGATCGCACCACAAAGAGAAAAGACAACGATCTCGACGATCTGTGAAATTCCAAGTTCCTACAACATATGAATTTTGATAAAACTACTGATAAAATGTTATACGTACTCATTCCCCTTATGATCTCATTCGTTAACTCAATAAACTAGCGTATTGCGGATTATTTGCATCTGACTTCAATAATTTGATTGGTTGCCACTTTATAAATTTTTCTTCACGTCACAAATTAAAAACGAAATATTAAATATAAATTGTTAAATATTCGCAATAGGAACATTTAAATTTATTCACTAGTTGTTTTCTAAAATAAATAGCCTAACGAATATGTCTTTGTGCAAGATATTTTATTAAAGAGTTATAAGTGAAACTAAATAAATTACGTAGCATTGCTCTTTTAACTTATTTATAATCATTCTAATTGTATTTTAAAAATACTAGAACTTTCTATTCAGCCAATCGGTTTGCAAAGTTAAGAATACGATTACCACGAACCGCTGTATAAAAACCTGGCTTTTACATTCAATTTTAAAGCCTATAATAGATCTCGGAAATAATACAGAGTTTATATCATTTAAAGAAATATTTTAGAAATCATTCACTTATCTTATTTATACAAAACAAATGAGATATTTGAAAATTATGCTTGGTTATTATAAATTTTTGCAATTCACACTCAGGTATAAATCTACTAGTGTGAAGATTCTGAATATAACATTTTATACAGTATTATAAAATCGAATAAGTTTGCAAAATAGAATATAAGATTTGGTTTGTATCCCTTAAACTGTCAATTTAACTACGTATCTACTACGGTTTAGACTACAATTAAATATAATTTGATAGCTTAATCACAGATCAATCATGAAATTTTCAGGCAGATTTGCCTGGAAAACAGTTTAAGGGATAATAAAAAAATATGTTGGTAAATTATATGTTTATGTAAATAAAATTTAAAAAAAATTTTTTTCTAAATTATATTTAGTTTTTTACTAATTGAAAATGCAAAGATAAATTAAAATATAATTAAAAAACCTAAGTACAAGAAAAACTTACAATATATCTTCAGATTAATTATCAGGTTCAGTTTGTTTAAACAAATGTCTGAGATAAATTCTATATATAAAATCAAATTTAAACAAATTAGTATGAAAAATTAATACTTATTTTTTATAATCATATAATAACAAATATTATTTATAAAAACTTTACTTCGTAATAATTTTTTATTGTATATATTTATATATAAAGTTTTGAATTACAATTATACATATATATACAATAATATAAATTTTTTTATGTATTGATTATAAATTTTATTAATTAAAGAACAAGTTTAAAATATAGTATATATGCTGTATATAATTAAATGTTGGCATTGAAATATGTATTACCTTATTTATAAACATTGGCTGTTTCAATTCAGCAATAAACTGGTTTTTTAATAATTATTTTGTATTATGATCTTGGCAAGAATATTCTTTAATAAGTATTTCATCTAAAGATTGATTGTTTTTATAATTATATTACTAGTTTGTTTAATATTTTTAGTAGCTTTATCTTCTACATTTAAATCTATTTGTTAATAACTTGTTGAATAGCATTTTCATTTTCAATTTTATTATTCTTATTTTTATTATTCAAATCTTTAAGAAATGTTTTTACATTATTCTCATTTGTTTCTTTTAAATAAATGTTATCAAGTTTATGACTAGTTTTAGCTTGTTTATTTGTATTAGTATTATTACTTTTTTTTTAGTTTTTTAAGTTTAGTTAATTAATGTATGTGATGTAATTTTTCTTGTAATTAATATATAACAAGAACTTTATTATTATTTAATTAATTTCTTTTTTGTAAATAAAAGAAAACTTATTGAACTAAATAGTTACTTAATAGATGCAGTATTTATTGTAACTGCATGCAAGTTTAGATAACTTAAATTAAAAATTTGATATTACAAATTTTTAATAATTAAGTATATTGTCTTTAAAATTATATATTAAATATAACTATATTAAAAGAATATAGTTATTTGTAATACATATCAAGCTCATAAAAAATAGAATTATATGTATTTTAAACCAAGCAGAATAATAATAAATTATTTATTTTTCTAAACTAATATAGTTAATATTAGTTATAAATTTAAACTTCTTATAATAATAATTAGTGTAAAGTAAAAATAAAAGATAAAATAAAAGTTGTTTTTATATTTTTCATTATCATTTAAAAGAATTAATTATAGTTTTTTAAAAGTTTAAATTAGTTAAATTCTTAATAACTTTCATAAACCAACTAAAACAATATAATATTTCAAAAAATCTTGTATTATCTTATTATAATTTATTAAAACAAAAACAAAAAAATAGAAAAAAATTTTTTAACTAAAATAAATTAGATCAAAAATTTTTATTTTTTATTATATATTAAAATATACTAAAATTGTAAAATATAAAATAAAAAATATTATTATATTTTATACATTAGCTCTTTTTGATAATCATCTGAATTAAACTTTTTTTTTAGTTTTAAGTAATTATATTAGTATTTTATTAAGATTCTTAAACCTATATATATATACAATTCTATAAAATTTTCTAATATTTAAGTTTAGCATTACTCAGCTACTCTAATAGTATCTAAATGCAACTTATTATACTATCTTAGTTAGAGATAAACTGTTTATCTAACTACTTAAGCATATCAATTGTTTTTTAAGCTTTTTTTTTATTCAATTTGTTTTTTGTTTTTTTTTATTTTATTTGTTATACTGGTCTTTTTTTTTTAGTCTTGTACCTTTTATATTAAATTTTTTATATTAGTTATAAAAGGTGTTTTATATTGTTCTTGTTACTATGTCTATATACTTTTATGTTGCCTATTTGTTTAAAAGTTATTTAAGCTTTTTTCTTATTTTTAACATAATAAGCTTATTTATCAATACTTTTTTGTTTATAATTTTTTCTGTTTTTGATTTTTCAAATAGTGTCTTATATAATATTTGTTATTGTTATTACTATTTTTTGAATTTGCTTTCACAAACTTTTTTATTCATAGCAACTTGCTAAATGTACTTAGGTTTTTTTTCATTTTGACATACCTAGTACTTTGCAATTATATATACTTCTGGTTTTCTTTTATTAAGTTCTTCAAAAGTTGATAGACTATTAATTATATACTTAATTGTTATAGCTTTTCTTGTACTAAGTTTTCTTAAAATACAATAAATTTCTCTTATTCTGTTTATTTCTTTACAAAAACTTGATCAATTATATATTATATTTTCTATTTCTAGTTTTAGCATTCTTATTGAATTTATTTCTTTTCAACTGACTTTAATTCTAGTATTTGCTATTATTTTATACAAAAATATTATTAATATATCAATTTTTTTGTTTTTCTACTCTAAATTATACTTTATTCTATTATATTTAACTTTTTTTAAATTTATTATATTTTGTAAGTTTTTTCTTTTTTTTGCAAAAGAGTCTGCTTTATTATTTTACTTATCTTTACTGTAATTTTTAATTTTGACTATTCCTATTTTAGTATTTTTGCTCTTAATAAGATCTACAATATTCATTATTTATATTACTTTTTTTTTTAGAATTCTTTTGTTTCTTATATTTTAAATTACTCTATTAATATTTTTTAATACAGTAATGTAATTTGTATACACTTTTATGTTTTTCTTTAGTATTATTAGAATTGCTGTTTATCTTGTTGTTAATTATACTATCATTATTGAAAACTATTCTTCAAATCTTAATGCAGTTTTTTTCTTTGATCAGTCTTTTTTATTATTTACTTGTACTCAATTAATAATTATTTTTTCTTTTTTTTTATATAATGCTTTATCTGTATAAAAGATAGATTTTTCTTTATCTTTTTTCTTGTTTCTTGTTAAAATTTTTGTTAAATAGTTTGTAATTATTTTATTTAATTTTTGTTTTTTAATTAACTTTATCTTTAGTTATTTTATTTGTCTTAGTCCTAATAGTTTTATTTCTTCTTTTTTTTTATTTTTTTATTGTTTTATTTTCTAATATCTGTTTTAATATTATATTAATTTTATTATTACTTTTTTCTACTAATAACTCTAATATTACTTTTATATTATAGTTTTATCTTATTTATTTTTTATACTTGTCTATTATTTGTTCTAATTTGATTTTATAATCTTTGCATTTACTTATTTCTGTAGATGTTTTTTCTTCTTCTTTGTGCATTAACTAATATTTTGCTAGTATTTTTTTTTCTTTTTCTTAGTTATTTTACTAAATTGCTAGTCATGTTTTGATCTATATATGATCTATTTTATTTTATTTTTTTCTTTTATTAAAACCAATATTATTAGTAGCTATTATCTTTATTTGTGTTTTAATCAATGCATTACATTAACTTGTACAAGATAAGTATGCAACTAACTATATGTATAACTTTTAGTTATTTATTTAAGTAGTCTACTCAAAAGTTCTACACTAGCTGCTATATTTGTAATCTGCTAGAAAATTATTTATTTAAGTACTCTGATCTTTATACTATACCCAAGCAATTAGCACCTAGTTTTTGTACATCTAAGTGCTATATATCCAATATTTAACCTTCTTTTTTGCATATTTATTAGGCCATTACATATTTTAGAATATGCTATCTGATTGTAAGATCTCAGAATGCCTTCTTATTAACTATCTACTCATTCTATAGAATATTAACATGACTAGTTCTTGTAAAGTTCATCTGAACTTCAGCATCTACTTTATAGCATATCTCTAGTACTTTTAGTATATCTCTACTTTGATTCCAAACTTCTAATCCAGATAGCCTAATAGAACTATAACCTGTTTTTGATATATTAAGTTAGTCTGATATATTTTTTCTTTAGTTCAATTTTAGCAATCTAATTTGTAATATTTCTTACCTTGAACTTCTTGCCTGTTTGGCTCTTTTACATTGATATTCATTTTCTAGATCTAGTCTTTTTAGTAGTATTATCAAAGATCTATATTATCTTTCTATTTAGGTTTTTTCAAATAGGTTTCAGTTTTTTCAGTTGTACAGATTTATATAACTATAAGAACTTATTTTAGATTTGTACTACCTAGTACTAGTTTGCATTTCTTTGTGTAATCAAGATTACATAGATGTCTTATAACCTGCCAGTTATATTGGTATAACTATAATTATAGATATCTTATTTTAACTGATTGACAGAAAAGTTGGTACTATAATATATAAGTATTATATAGGTAATTATCTAAATTTTTGCTATTAGTAGGTTTTGAACTTATAATCTATTACTGGAGGGTTGACAACTTATTCACTACACTAAGTCACCATATCTCTTAATTTATTTTTTCTTTTTTTAGTCTTTTAATATTTTTGTTCACTTAATTTTAATGTCATATATTTTCTTATTTGTTTGTATTATTAGCATCTTTTTTCTATTTCATTAAACTATTTAGCTTTTTTTTCTTAAGAGATGTGGTAACTTAGTAAGTTAATAAGTTGTTAATTCCCCAAGTAGTAGGTTGTAAGTTCAAAATCCACTAATAGTAAAAAATTTTTTTTTTAAATATTAAGGTAAGTACTTGTGACCCAGGATTTTATTGATAGTACATTTAGCTAATAGTTGCTTTACAATCACAGGAGACAACTATAGAAAGAGTGTACAACTAGTCACTTGTACAACTTTAGTCATTGTCTAATTTAAGTAATCTGCCCAAAGGTTCTATACTAGCTGCCATATCTGGAACCTGCTTGTAGGTTCTTTATTTAACTACTCTGTTCTCATATCCACTTACCTACCTATACCTACTAAGATGCCCTAGTTGATACTGGTTCAAATATGCCATAGTCACTAAGTCTTTAAAGCAGTTTACTTACATGAGAACCCTTTGACCTTGTACTAAACCTTCCAGAATCTTCTGTATCCTATTCTTATAGCTAACCTGATATTGCTATGGCTAAGACCAACACTTGCAGTTAGGACATACTATTAAACTGCTATGCTCTTGTAGAGTTCACTCCAATCCCAGTACTAACTTTACAACATATCCTTACTACTTTGGTATTCAATTCAAGTTCCACCAAGCTGCCATTCCAGATAGTCCAGAAAGGTAGATCAAAACTATACACCTTTGGTTTACATGTTTATCGGCATGTATTCTTTTCTTCCAGAACCCAGAAATTCTGGCAGCCTGATTGGTTCATCTAGTCCCTTTTCAAAGACCAGCACATTTGCTTAGTTTCACAAGTTCTAGCTCTATTTCATAAGTCTAGTTTTTACAGTAATACCGTTGAAGGTTCAGATTACCTCTATACTCAGGTCTTCCAAGTGGGCTTTCATCTTCCTACCTGGTTCTCTTGATTTACATGGCCTATGGACTTATCTTGGGTTCACACCATCTGGTACCAGTTTGTGTTCCCTCATACAACATTGTATGAGTGCCTAGACCTTCTAGTCATACTAGTATGATACAGTTTACAGATATCTTATCCCAACCAACCATGAAAGACAGTTAGCTGTAATACAAAAAGAATTGCAAATTTTCATCATTACTGGGATTTGAACTCTAGACCTGCCACTTGGGATTAACAACCTATTCACTTTACTAGATCGCCACATCTCTCTAATAGTAAAAATTTAAATAGTTATCTATATAATACTTATATATTATAGCAATAACTTTTTTTTTTTTTTAAATATTAAGATAAGTACTTGCAACCTAGGATTTTATTGATAGTACATTCAGCTAATGGTTGTATTACAACTACAGAGGGCAACCATGAAAAGAGTGTACAACTAGCCACTTGTACAACTTTAGTCATTGTCTAATTTAAGTAATCTGCCTGAAGGTTCTACACTAACTGCCATACCTGGAACCTGCTTGTAAGTTTCCTATTTAACTACTCTGTTCCTGTATCCACCCATCTATCTACACCTACCAAGATGCCCCGATCAATACTGGTGCAAATATGCCATGATCACTAAGTCTTTAAAGCAGTTTACTTATATGGAAAATCTTTGACCTTATACTAAACCTTTCAGAATCTTCTGTATTCTATTCTTACAGCTGATCTGATATCGCTATGGCTGAGACCAACACTAGCAGTTAAAGTGTACCATTTAACTGCTATGCTCTTGTAGAGTTTACTCCAATCCTGGTACTAACTTCACAACATATTCCTACTACTTTGGTATTCAATTCAAGTTCTATTAAGCTCCCAAACCAGATAGTCCAGAAAGGCAAGTTGTAACTATACATCTCTGGTTTACATGTTTGCTAACATATAACCTTTTTCTTTGGAACTCAGAAATTCTAGTGGCCTGGTTGGTTCCATTCGGCCCTTTCTCAAAGGCCAGCTTTTTGCTCAGTTTCACAAGTTCTAGCTTCATTTTATAGATCTAGTCTTTACAGTAACACTGTTGAAAGTTTGGATTACCTCTCTAATTGGGTCTTCCAAGTAGGCTTCTGTCTTTCTACTTAGTTTCTATGATTTATACAGCTTAGGACTTATCTTGGGTTTATACTACTCAGTACCGGTTTGTATTCCTTCATACAATGTTGCATGAATGCCCTAGACCTTCCAGTTATGCTAGTATGACACAGGTTACAGATGTCTTATTCCAACTAATCACAGAAGACAGTTAACCATAACACAGAAAGAATTGCAAATTTTTGCTATCACTAGATTTGAACTCTAGACCTGCCACTTGGAGATTAACAACCTATTCACTTCACTAGATCACCATACCCCCTATAATTAATGTTTAACTATACTTAAAAATACAAATGATTTATAAAACCCAAATTTAAATATTGGATAACTTATAATTTTAAAATCTTTACATTGGTATAACTGAAGAACTTTATATAATTAAGCCAACTGAAAATAACTTGTTGAAAATTTTTATAAGATAATTTGTACTAATATCAAGCAACAGAACATGTTAGTTAAGACAAAATCTGACAAAAAATTTTTTTAATTTTTTTTTATAATATAAAAAGATTTATGTACGGTATTGTTTTATTTTACAAAATATATCTATTAACGATGTGGATGTGTTCTATATAATGAATATAAAAATTGATATAATTTTTAATTATATGAATTTTTTATATACTTTTATTGTAGTTTTTTTATTTAGTATGCAAAAAAAATTTTCTTGAATTTGTAAAGCATTTCATTTTTTAATAAGCAATAATTTATGCAAATATTATAAATTTTATATATAAAAATTTATATAAATTTTTTATAGTTATTTATTTATATAAAAGAATATTTGTAAGAGAAATATCTTAATTTTATTATATATAAATATATATTAGCAAAGTATTTTAATAGCTTATCCTTTAGTAACAATCCAGATAGTTATTATAGCAATTTATAAGTTATATTAAAGTTATTTATAATTTAAAAAAACTATTTCAACAGCTTAAAAAAATTTTTACAATTAGTAAAGTTAAAGTTTAAACTATCAATATGAAATCTCTAGATATTATTATTTTAAGTTGCTTGCAGAATAAATAAATGAGTAAATGGAATCTTAAGCAATTTTGAACAATTAAATTAATTTTAATTATTTTTGTATTTATTATTAATTCTGCCTATTTTGTGATCTATACATGTTGTATGCCTCTACTATACAATGTTTTATAATGTTTTATTTCAGCCTAAATATCTACATCAGTGTCATTCAATTTTTGAGCTATATATTTGTGAAAAGAATGGTTTATAATCCTTTTATTAGCATAATTAATGCTTATAATAAAACAAACTTCTTTCATAAAACTGAAAAGCTTAGCATAACCTACATAATGGTTTAAAATCAGAAGCTTTTATAAAAGAACATTTTATTTTTATTTTTTTTTTATATTAAAAGAGAAAAAGAAATTGAATTATATATTTGAATTATTAAATTAATATCATTTTATATAAGCTTAAATATACAAGCTAATGAAATATTTTTTTTATATAAGAGGTCAGGATATTAATAATATAATTAATATTTTTATCTGTTATATATATAATTTTTAAAAGCTAGTTACATTTTTACTGATTAAGAAATAACATACATTATTTCAAGTGTAAACAAGATATTTAAAACTTAATAATGATAACTTTTTTATATATAAATTTGTGATGTTTAATTTAGTTTCACAAGGCTGTATGCATATGTTATACCTACTGAGATCTATTTTTACCAACAGCTCATTTAGCCAACATCATACCAAGTGACAATTTAGAAAAATATATATCTGAAGCTAATCAAAAGCTTAACTCTGATCTTATATGATGTCAGCTAAATGAGTTTTTGATAAAATAATCATTAGTGAAGTAAGCAAAACTGAAATTTTTAGTGCTAATCACTATAAATCAATAAATTTACTACATTCAAAATAATTAATATATCTATCAAAGTGACTAACTAACTCAAAACTATCCAACTTACTAACCAATATATAAATTATTTTAATAATATTTTGATCTAAATCATATTAATACCTTAAAGCCTATTCAGACTGATGAATAATTAGATCTAAGTTTTTTAGCTTATCATTAACTCCCAATTTTATAAATTATCAGAAAAAAATAGTAAGACTTAATGATATTATAATATCAAGAAACTACTATCTTTTGTTATATCAAATTTTCCTAAAAAAAATAATAAGACCAAAGTCTTTTTGCATAAATACTATATATCTACTGTAGTACATCAATATTTTCTATATCTTGTTAAAGAGTATGAACAAATAAAAATGGAAATAAAATACACAAAACATATTTTGAAGTTCTAGTTTTGAATTTTCATAATCAGCTGGATGACAATTAAGTATGTCAATAGTATCTAATATTCCTATACTTATTTCTTCAAATTCTTTATTTTTGTTTTCACTATTATCTTCAGTCCATTTTTTAATAACTGATTCATTACATATCAAGTCATTATCAGTATCATTATCACTATTAGGTGTATTAAATTCAACACTCTCATTATTAGTCTTTTCAGAAATATTTCTACTCTTATTTTTATTGTCATTAAACATTAAACATGCATAATATTACTCAAATTAAGTATGCCAGATTCTGACTGTTCATAGAGTGGTACTTGTACTTTGTTATTAGCTAAACCAATAATCTGATTTCTAGTAGCTGTTATTTGAACATTTGTAATACCTTCTAGATATTCTTTCTATACTATATCTGCTACGATCTGTGCTATTTAAAAAACTGGTTTTAACTATAAAATAGTGTATTAAGTTATAAATTTAATTGCATACATTGCATTTTTAATTTATTGCACTATACCAAAAAATAAGTATAATATATCTTCATTGTTTATTTTAAATAAAATCTACAACTAAAGATAGGCATCTAAATACTCATATAATATAAATACTATATGCACTTGTCTATATACATCTTATCACACATCGTGCTTAATTATTACATACTATAACTATATAAATATTCAATTTTAAATAATTTTACTAATGCAATAGTACAATACATAGTCAGTGATAAGGTGCATGATACTCATCTCTACCTCTATCTATAGCTTTTAATTATATTTTAGGTAGTTAGAATTAGTGCACAAAATTTATTACAAACCATCAGAGATTTAGATTAATTAAAAAAATTCTGGCATGATTTTTTGATAATTAAAATTTATATTACTATAATGAATTATGTATATTGAAAATATGTACAAGGTTAGTGCAGCTCTTCTGAACTACAAATTAGATTTCAAAATTATGTATAATATAACGTGATCAGAAAAATTTAAAACAGCTCAAAAATCAGCATAAAAAAACATTTTTTATGCTCTAACAAAAAGTTTTGTTAAAAAATTTTATTATATAAATTACTACTTTCTAAATTCTAATCTTAACCTTAATCCTAATCTTAACGAATTTTAAGGATTTTGTTTGTGCTGCCAACTTTGTACACATTTTTAGTATGCTAGAAGTATTTGCAAATAAGTATTCCAACTACAGATCCAAAATTTGGTTAGTAAAAACATTTTCAAAAAAATCTAAACACATTATGCCACAATTTTGTGTACTAGTTAGTATTAGTATAATAATAAACAAAATTTTGCTGAAAAGTACTGAAATATACTTTTTCAGTAAATTTTTGCTTATTATTATATAATTATCTAAAAAAAAGTTACAAGATAAAATTAGCCAGAGAATAAAAACAGCAAGATAAGAATAATTAACAAATTTTATTTTTTACTTATTAAAAATAAGCCAAAAAATAATATAAGTTCTAAATACAAAAAATCCAAACCAAAATATGATGCTTATTTATGATAGAATACAACAATTATTTAATAATTTAATTCTTACTTTAAGATGACCTTGTCATGAGCTATAAAACCATCCTATAGAGAAAAAAAGATGTTCATATAAAGCTAAGTTAACTTTAATACTGTATAACTAAAGTGCAACTTTACCAAATTTTTTTTTATCAATTGCAATGAATTTCCAATATCTAGCAAAACAATTCCTACTACATTACTGATTTTTATATTTGACATATTATTTTCTGCTAAAATAGTATCGACAGTATTATCAAACTGTTTATTATTAAAAATATCTTACTTCATATAATATTCTGTTAATTCTAATATAATATGTTTTGGTTTTTTATTAAACCACATCTCATAGTAATACTCAATCCAATAAGCTATTTACTCAAAACTAAAAAAATTTCTGTTTGATAACATCTAAACTCAAAAATGTGAATGAAATATAACTGCTAAAAAAAGCAAAGATTGTTTTCAATCAGTTTAACATTTTTCAAGTTTTTGTAACATTGCATTGCCAAATTTATCAATTTTATCTTCATACTGTTGTGTTATATATACAAATAAATAGATAACATTAAAAGATTTGCAGCATCATGTTGAAGATAATCCAGAATACTAACAAATAGCAACAAACAACCTAAGAGTTTACAAACATTTTTCCAAAAAGTTGAACTACTTATTGCAGACCTTGCCTTATTTAATAATTCATTTAAATTTGAATATAAAATTAAGTAAGATTGCAAAGCCTACTTACTTCTAAGAAGAGTAGCAAAACAATAATAATAAAAATTCTAATATGTAACTACCAGATGTACAAAACTATAATTTGTTTTATAAATTCTTCATTATTTTTCATATAGTAAAGAAATAGCTTTTGAATGTCTTTTATTAGTAAAATATGCCACAATATCAATTACTTATTCTGCTATATATTTGTATTTGAATGAGTATTTAAAAATATCTTTGATACATAAATTAGCTTGGTGTGCAAAACATAGTAAAAATATGATATCTGGTTTCTGTAATCATATTTTATGACTAATAATAAATATTAAAAATAAATAATATATAAAATAATAAAAATAGTAAAGGTCTCTTACTAGAGATGTACCTTGCATAAAGATAGTATACATTTTACAAATCATATAACTTTATGTAAAATACAAGATAATCTTATCTCTAATCACTATAATTTTCTCAATTAAAAATTTACTTCATATAAACTATGATGCAATTTGAGTGAAAATGATATTATTATCTGAGAGATACATCTCTTACTCTAATTATTTCAATCTTTTTAGCATAATTAGAATATTACTAATATACCCATTCTGATTGTTAGAATGGTTAGAATACTATATGTACTAAATAACACTTATAGACATTATTTTGGATACATATATTTAAAAGAGCTAATAATTAATTTATTTTTAATAATAAAAAATTATGATTCATACTTGGTTAAATTAATTATTTACTCTTTTCAAACTATATATCCTGAAATAATGCTCATGGACATTATTTTGTGCAAATAAAGTAAAGAGCCTTTTGATATAATTAGAACATTTCTCAAATCAACAACATACCATACTGAAGAATATGATGACATGCTATCAGTAATCATAGCCACTATATTTAGATTTTATTTTTTTGCTCTTTTTAAAAAAGTATAAATTGTGTTTATTTAATATATTATCTGTTTTTTAGTTAGTACTATTCACATTTTCAGCATCTTATATATATACACTATTAGATGCTGAAACAAGAACTGCATCTAAAATTTCTTGACATTGCACATTTTTCTACCTATTAAACATAATTGTGACAGGTTTTTGTGCTTCTAAAAAAGCAGATATTCAAGAATTTTCCAATTTTTCAGCATATTCATTAAGAATTTTATTTCTAATTATGCGTCAGTTTAGAATTTTAACAGTTGTATTAAAAAAAGCAATGAGTTTATGAAAAGTCTTGCTCTTGACAAATCAGAATGAAAGACTATTTTCAACTATCATATAAAGAAGTCAATGATGAAATTCTTGTTGCTTATGAGTTAATAATAGACAAACAAAGTAATTATCTAAAACTATGTTCTTTTTTTGATCCATTCATATTTATATAAAATTATGTGATATTAATATTAATTCTGATACACCTGAACCCCTAGCATTGAAATTTATTAAGCTAATAGACATAGCTAAAGTATTATTCTATTCTCTTGCTTGTCTTAATGTCACAACTGTATTTCACACTACTGTTTCATCAGAGTCTTCATACAGCATTAATTTCTGGTCTTTTTTGACCCAAAACTTATACCAATATGGACATTGCTTTCAATGCTATTGTACATAATCTTATCTATTAAAAAATTCACACCTTTAATAAACTTCTTATAATTAAAAACTTTTATTTCTTTCTTTTTCAAATATTTTTTTATTGTCTTCGCAGGCTTTACATATAGCTCTTTTAGTCTTTTGTGCTGGACCTAAGTTATTTTGATTTTGTATATAAACATATTTTGTTAATCTATAAATATAAGTTTGAGGCATGCTTAACATTTAATTATAATAATGATAATGCTAAACTCATTTGCAATTTTACACTTTATTTATAATTATATATATCTCTAAAATATGCTTTCTATAAATAAAATTAACTTTGATAGATGTATACTTGATGGCTCACTGCATTTGTGTAACTGAACTAATTTGACCAATTTGATCATGATCAAATTAGTCAAAGCTAAACAGTATATCTGTTATAGTTAGATGGGCATGCAATCAATCAGTATTTTTTAATAATTTTAATATAACAATTTTTCTATGATATATTGATAGTTATTAGTACAGTAACTGGAAAAATCTGGCTTGGTGTTGTGTTTAGTAGATCTATTTTTATTTTGATTAACAAATTATCATTACATGTTGTTAGAAACATATATAAGGTTTTTATATTAAGAATAAGAGTAGTGTTATTAGCTTCACATATAATAGTACCTAGGTGTTAAACCTGTTTACAGAGGTCCTATAACTCAAGGGCTTTGTAGTAAATTTGCAGAGTAACCCATGTTAGTAGATTCTGTAAAGGGTTTATTGTTGTTAAGATTATTAGAGGTGTGAATTTTTTAATAGATAAGATTATGTA